CCCTTTCCTGGATGGCCAAGTAGCTCGGGTCTTTGGCTTTTATCCATTCCAGGAACTTCATTCTTTTCATGGTGGACAGTAAAGCTGCCGCAGATGTAAAGTGCGGAGGTGAAGCCAATCTAGCCTGGCGTTAAGGTACTCGAAGGCTGAAGAAAAATGTAGGAGTGCTAAACGATTAAATCGTATTGCCCCGACACACAGCCATTCGTGTACCTGCGCTGCACCTTGGACACGAGGAGGGTGCATGCAAGAGCTAAAAGAGTGAGTCGAGCCATTTGCAGGGGACTTGCATCTTGTGATCCAGGCTCCGCTAGAGTAGGCTAAGTTCTCAGCAAGAACTTCGAGAAGCGGGAGACCAGGTCCATTTGATACATACTGGAGTTGATCGAGCAACGCTTCAAGCTCACCCGAACCATAACCTCCGCTAGCGTTACGACCAGGGAACTGCGCAACATTCCCGGTGGCTAGCACCTGACTTTGTGGGTACCCCCCACTGGAATACCACCAACTGAGGGCGGCAAAAACACACTACCGGTGCAGCCCTGTCGAGTCCGGGCGTCCCCTTCAAAAAACCTGACTCCACTCTGATTGCCGTGATCGGCAGGTAGTACGTACCCTACAGGAACTGTACGGGCGCCCTCCGCCAAAGGGTCACTCATGCCTGGAGTACTACTACAATTCCCTGGACCGTGACTGACTGTGTCACGACCTTGAGGCGCGTTAACATGCGAACGTGTTTGTCCAGGGTTTCCGCCGGAAACCCTAGAAAAGGAACAGCCCTGCGGGCTCACCACTTGCTGTGGGCCTTCCCGGTCAGCTGGACCTTCCTGGCCTGTATGACCGCTTGTTGCACCGCTATCGCTGGGAGAAGCGCACTGCGTGCCCGAAATTGGGCTCATCACCGGCTGACACTTGGGTTGCCACAAGTAGGGCACTTAATCTGCGGTGAGGCAACAAGGCAGTCTTTTCCTTATGGCGCACGGGAAGGTCTCTACGTTCCTAACTCCAAGACAAAAGAGAAAGAACACAAAGCGAAAACAAAGATTGAACAATTGAGTATGTACAGATTACCTTTACACCGAGTACATCGATACGTGCTTCCGGTGGTCCTTAGCTTGAGCCACACACACACGCATACCGCACATGTAGTACATGCACACCTGGTCACGCACATGCAATTTTGACAATGTTCCTCACACTATATGACGTACTCTCAACATGTCAAATCAGGCCCCTCCAAACTCTTCACATTACAGCATGATAACCAATTCTCCCTGCCCTGAGACCCTTACTAACCAGCACGCAGAAAGGGATCCATGTTGAAACCCAGTTCCAATTCGATTGATGCTCCATAGAACTAAGCCTGCTCAAGTCTTGATGGCCGAGCGGAGTTGAACAATGCAACCCAGCCAACTTCTATCAGCGCAATCTGATTGCCGGTGGATGTTCCCTCGCATTGCTACCACTGAGCTCCAAGCGAGGCAAGCGAGGAACACCATCTTCCAGAATCTGCCTCTTGACATTTGTACGTCCCTTGCAAATGCAGACGGTGATGCACTCATTTGACAAATCTTGCGTGTACCTTTACATAAAAATTCCCACACTTTCCAGCATACAACACTTTGGCACGCTGTCAAATATTCCCACAAGATCATCATTTAGGAACCGCAGGTCTTTAAGGTCAGGTACTGTGCGAAAGAATTCCATGAATTCAAGCAAAAATCTGAGGCAAAGCAAAGGATCCAAACTGTCTTCAAAAACAGACATGCAACATCTGTGCAATGGGCCGAGGCAGAGCCACAGTGCAATTTCTTTGTAATGGTGCTGTTGTAAGCAATCACGCTTCTTCCTTTCCTGTAGGCTTCTTTTCTTTGAGAACAACAAAACCTTGCCGAAGTCTGGCATTGACTTGAACTCCGCTTTACTATTTTTTTCCGAATATGACTTGGAACTGCATTCATGACATTTATGCAGCATGCATGGTCCAGCAAGGGAACTCTTTTGAAATCGCAATCATCATTTCAAGCTCGAAGGGTCGCTTGATAGTAAGACCTCGGACACTGCACCATGAAGTGCATGGATTGATGGTCAGCCATGCGGACCACCAGCTTGGAATCAACCATCTTCCTGAGTGCCAGAAAATTTGGCTCAACCAATTTCCACGGTTGCTGATTAAGTGCGTGAAGATGTTTGCACCACTGTTGTGGAAAGAATGTAGCCCAAACTCATGTTGAACTGGACTCGGAAAGCCCCCGTGTGCGAAATCATCCATCAATCTTGCGCCGATGGTAAGTCAGATATAAGTCATACCCGGGGTACACACCTGAGACCAATGTTTGAAGGTGTGGGGGGGCAAGCTCATCTTGGACTCGCTGGAAGCCATGTCCATCAACAATGTTAACATTGGGGTGGTTGATCTCCTCTCACTGGCATGGCAACAAGGTTGGGCTCAAGTCCTGCAACTTGAGTTCCCATGGATTGAAGCTGAACAACATGGTTTCTACCGATCTGCGTGCACCCTCTTCTGATTCAACCCAGTACGACGGCAAACGTAGGGGTTCATCAGCTCTGAATCTCGTCTCGAAGCCATTGCATACATTCGAGTTTGAAGCTGGAGTTGCTAGAGAGGGAAGTCGTAAAAGACCTGATGAGCTGGCTAATTTTGGTTTTAACAGTAGGCGATGCGCCAAAGTGCATACACCTCGATGTCTGTCAAACTTTCGGCCTAATCTTCTTTTAGCCTTGAAAAGATTTCATCGAATCTGTCTGTGCCCGGAACGCTTGATTCTTGACCAGGGGTGCATTCCCAAAGTTCCGAACCTGGCACCCGATCTTCGCAAGCAATCGGACAAAGGTATGAGAGTTGGAGGTTTGATTCTTGCAGCTAATTCCGTGGGGTCCAAACGCCGACGTCTTGAAGAACTTGTGAATAAACAGATGCTTCAGCCTGGATTGCCGCAGTCGATAAGCACATGTTCCTGAATCCAAGAATCTCTGTACCTTACCGAAATAACAACTGTAGAGAACTGTTGATACGAAAGCTCTTTTGCCCGCACTCGGTTTGCAAGCTCCACTTGAACATACTGTCCGGCTTGACTTTGTTTGATTCTTGCACGGCGAATGTTTTCTCTAGCCAGCGCACCGATAGATGTGCTGCCAACACACATCCATTTGGAGCCTTGCTTGATTGTGGGTTACTTTCAAAGGTTACGACAACTGTTTTCCACCACACGTTGCTCTCCGCTCACACTCCAGATGCTGATCTCTTCATGTAGGGTGCAAAGTCCAAGCTGCCAGGGAACCGGCCCATGGCACCCCGCTCATCCCCCCCCTAGCTGCCTTTACACGGCCCAAGGGCGGGATCCCCTACTGCAGCATGCACTCATGTCAGGTGCACATGCCCTGGATAGGAATAGGAGACACGACAGGAAGGAGTGGAGAGGTAAACTGTTCGTGCTCACACGCTCTCGTGGTCACCCTGCGCACTCCGAGCTGCATAGGCTTTTTTTTGCAAACGAGAGAGTGAATAAGCTGATCGGGAGTCTGATCATCACACAGAGAAGGCAGAAGGATCTGTTATAGCTTGCCAGCTGTTCGGCGGGTGCCCGGTTGGGGTCATCACGGCGCCACAGTGGAAAACCCCCGCATATCTTTTTGTACATGCCAATCAGATTAGCAGAACATCTTGGAAAACATGTTTGGATGTCCACTATAGGATTGGTTGTCTTCAAAAACTCAGAATTGTTTGCAGGACTTGGCGGAACGGAAGCTCCTGGGGGCAAAAAATATCGTTGTCACATCGTCTTAGAAAGACCGAAGGGACCTTGACTGTTCCTCTCACCAGCGCCCAGCTACAACGACGGGTCCAGGGCTGTTTGGCACGCAGCAGATCCGGGTGATCAGCACAGTTGACGTATCTTTAGACATTTCTGGAAATCATCTCAGTATTCCACAGTTTGGAGACTAAAGCGTTAGTTCAAGCTGGTTGCCGTGGAGTGCCGGTTGTGTGCAGGAAGAAGAGGAGCTGCCACGGGCCGTGTCCACGTCGCTGAGCAATTTTCTGCAGCGCGAGCTCCTAGAAGCAGCTCGCCTGCTGAAAAGAGCTCGCAAGAGCCTCGAGGCACGCTCGCAGAGAACTGAAGAGAAGAAGCAGGAGAAAGAACTGAGAGATGATGCGCAGCTTCCAGGCGCTGATCGCTCACTTGGAAGGCCTTTGGGAGTGGCGCTCTCTCTTCTGCAGCCCCAGCACCCTCTTTTCTCCTGTTCTTTCTCTGTTTCTCTCTCTTTGTCTCCCCTATCTCATTCTAGGCGTGGCCTTCTCAGACGACCTGGAGGCGAGATGAACTTGGGTAATAACCCCGCTGCCAGGGCGGTCCTATTTGTTGCTTTCCCTGCAAAGCGATAACCAATAGTTGAAAAGTCCGGGAGTCCAGCCCTGTAAAACGATAACCAATAAAGCACAGCGATAAGGCTTCAAAAAGGATAGGAAGGGTGGCCACAGGGTTGTCACACGAGCTCAGATGGAGGGCTACAACAAGTCTGGGTGTAAGGTTGTTTCTGCAGGCTCTGCAGCAGGACCTGTGCTCTGGCTGCGTACCAGAGTCCTGGAGACACGCGTGGGGAACCCAAACGCAAACCACCAGATAAGAAACTCCATTCAGCGATTCAGGCTGATGGTGGCACCTCGAAAAGCTTTGACATCCTGGACGGAGGTGCAGATATGCAAGCTGAGGTGTACAACTAAAAACCTTGGACATGTTCTGTGCAACAGAATCAGACCAGCAAGTGAGGACGTTTCGCGTCGTGTGCGCGCAATCCGTGCCTGGCACCAGAGTGGAAAGGCCGTTGAAGAGATCTTATTTATGCTTCAACAGATTCGGACCTATCTTGACAGAACCTTGACCAGGCTCCTTGTTGCTTCTACTTGTCGGATTTCCTGAATCCACAAGGCTCGTGCCTAGTGCGTCTGACAGCCTGTTTTGAGAGGGCTAGGTGCTTGTTGCCACCATCAGGCTTCCTTATTGCCATACTTCAGGGCACGGCTCGATTGCGCCGATCTTCTGTCGAAAGGCCGGAATCAAGGGAAGCAAACAGAACTGCACGATGGAAGTGCTGCATTGACATGTTCATTGCTTGTCAGGATGCGCTTCGAGCATCGGGTGGAGCATTTGCTTTCCAATGAGGAGGAGGCATAAGATTCAAGGGTTCCAAGAAGAGTCTGAAAAACACTGAAAGTTTTAAGTAAACCTTGAGAGAACAAGCCTTGAAGCAGATTTTTGCATCCTTCGCTGAGGCATGGGCCGCATGGGTGGTTTTGTTTTGCTTTGCTCTCGGCTCTGCCCGGGTTTGCGCTCAGCGCTTTGGGGCCTAAAGTCCAGCAGCCTTTCCTACAGAGAATGCCTCAAAAATGATGGAAAAGTGTGTTTTCCCACAACGTCCGCTTTTAAAAAAACACTGAACCGGGCAATGATAGGGCAATGACATATGACAATGAATAACGATGAGAATTTCCATTCGGCGGTGTGTTGCCGAGCGCTGGCTCGCCTCAAACAGCCACGGTCCAACGTTCCATCGGTCCATCAGCTGTAGAACTGTAGAAGGTTGAGGCGTGACTCCACGGCTGGTGTGAGGTTCTTTGGAAACTTGCTCAGAACTTTGAGTTTTGCCGGCGCAGAGGTGCGCAGGAAAAATGAGCACGTTGTGATTTCGTCCATTTTTGACACGGCTCCAAAATGGGGAGGGTTCAGGTATTGGCGACTTAGTTGCCTCCGCGCCCCGCCCTTGCGTCTATGGATCCCTAATATGGGAAAGGGTACATATGGGGTATATAGTAGGTACATAAGGATCCCAGGGTTAAGGGCCCATACGAGGGGCCCATGGTTTCAACCTTAAATTGCAGAGGCTTTGCGTCCCGTTTCATAGGTGCGCAACTTGCGCTTGTGCCGTCCGTTTTTTGTCATGGAGTGTTTTTCCCAAATGTTCAACTTGCGCTTGTGCCGTCCGTTTTTTTGTCATGGAGTGTTTTTTCCCAAATGTTTGTGAGCCACTCCTCGGCGGTGTGCACTCAGCGCGCTCGGCGTTCGATTCCAGATTCAGATGAGGAGTCATAGAAATTCCGCATGGCTCATGCCAGCCCCAGAAGAGCTTGGCGAAGACATCCTGCTTTTTGATAGCAGCGACTGACTGATCCACCCCTTCCAGTGGACGAGATGGATGGTGTTGGGTGGCGTATGGCATCCATCAACTGCTCGGGCTTGCACAGGGGAGTGTCGAATGGTTTTTCAAGTTTTGTGTTGCGGGGCACGAGTTTAAAAAACCGTTGCAGGGTAAAGGCTCCTGATTCTCGCCGTGCGACTGCCGTTTTGTCATGTGTGGAGTTGTTTTGTCGGCGCCAGGTCCGACAGCAGTTGAAGGCTTGGAAGATAGACCCCGCAGACCCAAAGAACACTCGAAAGCTCCGAGGCCGACCACGCCTTGGTGGACACGGCCTTCGAAGGCCTTTCAAAAATAAAGGGACACAAAGTTCCTTCAGTTTTGTGGGCGGGCGGGGTCGGGGTCCAGGTGTCTACTTGGCGGGTCTTTTCCTCGAGGGTGCATCCTGGAGCCGGCGCAAAGGCATTCTTGAGGAGAGGGTTCCTTCGAAGAACTGTTCTGTGGAGGCCGCGCTTATGAAGCGCAGCTAAGCAGTTTTTAAATGGCTTGAGGAAAGGGACCCGCAGCAGCGCTGGTCAGCACTGCCTGCCTGGTGCTGAGAAAACCTCGCAGCTGGTGTAAAAAGGCTTCAAAATGCAAAGGTCCTTCGCTTCCATCCTGTGGACGGGCGGCAGGAGACAAGAAACATGACATGCGCTGCTGCACCTGCTGCGCTGAGTGTTGGTGAATTTGGAGTTGCTGGCAGGAGGCTTTGTCTGCAGCACCGCGCGAAGCGAGGGCGTCACTGTCGCCAGCAAAAGGCACCAAATTTTCCCGGCCGCGGCGATTTTGCAGTGTTCTCACTGCTGAGCTGCTTTCCTTTCCTTTCCGCAGGTCCGACTCCGAGCGCGAAAGCCGCGCAAGTGTCAGGACGTGTACAGGAGGCAGGGCCAGAGAACGAGACCAAACAACTTCGCGCAAGTTTGCTTCGCTTCGCTCTTTGCTTTTGGCTTTGTGTCAGCTTTGCTTGCTTTGCTTCAGGCTCTCCGTCGCAGGCACGCCGGCGCCGGGCTCGGGCTGGGGCTCGGGCATGGCCTCGGATCGAAGGCGCCGAAGGCATTGAATCTCATTGCGGCCAAGGACAGGCTGAAAGCACTTTTTTGCTGCACTGCATGCACTGCATGCACTACACACTCCCTGCGCCTTTGCATTTCAAACGCCTTCCGGAAGGAGAAACACCATGCCCGCGCCAACCACAGTTTCAGTTGCCCATTGCTGGCGCAAAGCCCTTTCCATGCTGGAGGCCAACGGGTCCAGGAATGCCTTCGCAAGATGAAGTTGAACAGCTCTGTTTTTTAAACATCTGGATTTACATGCTGTTTAATACAAGCCTGCACCCACACCCGGTTGGTCCACTGCGGTGCTAGCTGCTGCTACTGCTAGTTCTGGTGGCCATGGCTGTTGCTGCTTCCCTTGTTGTTGCTTCTTGGGCTGATTTTTTGTCTGTTACAGGTGCTGGGCTCTGGTCTTCCGCGTCGCGCCCACAGACGCCCACAGCGCAGAGCGCCCAGATGCGATGTTTGCTTGAAGTGCCTTTGACATTTGAGGGCGGAGGTCTTGGAGAATGTGGACCTGCCTATGGGAAGCTGCGAGTCACAGGACAGAGGGAGAGGGGCCCGGTTGGGGGTGGCTTGAAAAAAGAGCCTCGGCTGCTAACCTAAGCTGCGCTGAGGAGCCCTGGCTCCTGCGTGGCCAGGGCCTCAGGGCCTCAGGGTGAGGGTGAGGAAGTTAGCAATGACCATTTCCATTTTCTAATCATGCACCACCCCCTAGCACCCAAACCATAACAACCTATACCTCAACCCTAACCCACCGAAAGACCCATAGGTAGAACCCTAGGAATAACTCACCTGAAGACCGAAAACCATAACAACCTATACCCCAATGCCCATATAATGGAACCACTAGAAGACCCATACACCACCACATAGAAAACCCCCAACCCTCAACTCCATACACCCACACTCCCATAGAAAACCCGATAGTATCAACCCGAAATCCCTAACCCTTGAAAATGGAAATGGTCTTCTTAAATAATTTTACAATAATAGGAATAAGGTTTAGGAATAAGGTAGGAATAAGAAACAGAAATAATATTATTTCAACAAAATAATATTATCATTGTTTTCTATTTAGGTTTGACTAGTTCGCCGTATTCTTCTTCAATATCCTGAATACTTTTATTCAACCACTTAACGGCATTTGTTGGTTTCACATCTAAATATTTAGTGTCTCCGCTTCCCCCATTCTGGGGTGGGCATGGTTAGAAAATGGAAATGGTATATGCTAACTGAGGATGGGTTGAAAAAAGCGTTCTTAAGAGTCATTCAAACAAGCCCCTTGCGCCTCGCATACCCGACATACCTTGCCTTGCACCTCCGATTTGTCTCAGATACAGCCGTTGTGATCCACATCGAGGATTGACATTCTCGTTCTGGCTAGAGCCCGAAACCTGGGCTGCCCTGAAGCCAACACGGCGGGGTACGGAGATCCGAGTGAAGATGAAAGAGATGAAAGCTTCTGAAAGTGGAAGACCTGGTGGATCGAGTCTGAGTCCATGTGACGCGTCTCTTCGCTCGAAGTCTCCGCGGCCTTGTACATAGACTGGATCCCCGCGGTGCTTTGAAAAGAGGAACCTGAAGAGGTGAGATAAGGTGAGCTGCGCAAGAGGGAAATGCAAGTTCTGCAGAGTTGTGCGTTGCTGAATCTCGAACTCAGCCCAATGCATACCGAAGCAAACGAAAGAATCGGGCAGCCAGTAAAGCCAGTAAAGTGAAGGTAGTGTGTGTGTCTGTGTTTCTGGAAGAAGTAAGAAGAGGAGAGGGTTTTTGACTTCGATGAGCCTCCAACGCCGGCTCCGATGGAAAGCTCCTCTCGGCCAACATGGCGGAAGCATACTCCTCAGATCAAAAGGATTGCAAAGACTGTCTCAGTTTTGCCTCAAACAAGAAGCTGAGAAGCTTTCTGTTTATCACACCACTCCGCCTTTTATAATTTTTGCACAGCGACACTAATTGGAGATGGAGGTCTTCCAGCTTTCCCGGCCTCCAAGATCCCCGTCTGCGTAACTGTCGACAGGGGCAGCAATTTCGACCCTGGTGCTAACACTCGCACCCCCCAGACCCCCGATTCTGCAAGCCAGCTCGACCACACGGCCAATCCCAGCTATCTCAACGTGTTCAAAAAAAGGCGCAAGAAATATGCTGCCACTGGCACGACGCACAGGAACGCGACTACAGCCGGTCAGCCTTCTACCCTCAAGGATCACGATGCTCCAATGATGTCCTCTTGCATGCGCGAATGGAAGGTTCCCCTTCCCATGGATCCATCGCTCTGTTGCGTGTGTTGGCTGCATTAGCTGCAATGCCTTCCAACGCCCTCTTGGATTGCTTAAGAAAAAGATTTTACTGACTGTCACAATAAAAAAAGAGGTCCCCTCACTCAATATTGAACTTCATTAGAACGGATGCCAGAATCCTCGCGTCCTGGTTTCCTGATTTTGTGGGCTGCCCCGCCCATGTTATATGGTTGTCCCCCCCCCCCTTCCCCCCCTCCCCCCCCTGAGATGTAACCTGTGC